GACAAGGTTTTACTTCATCGGCCACACTCAACTGTTGCCCAATCCTCTCATCTTCCCTGGATAGGAAATTACACCATTATAAAAACGAACAATATGATGTGTCAGGTGCAAAACGATGATGGTGATACAATCTGGATTCACCGTGCACATATCCGACGACTGGCTCCACGTCCAACACATCTTTCTAATACAATCCCCCTGCCTCCACCATGTAACAGTCACCAGGATCATTCTCCTCCACATCCCTCGGGGACACATAATTCAGCAAATAATTCCATATCAAAACAAATGCCAACAAGAAGAACACGAGGACAACTTCCCACACGCTTCAGAGACTTTATCATGAATTAATCACCCAAATATACACGAATAACGCTCACTGTAAATCAGACCGAGACCTGGGGGAGCCTTGTTATAAAATAAAATAAGACATATCTCGGCTGATTTACAGGCAAATACTCAAGAGCGAGAACCGGATGTGAACGGGACAAAGCCCCGTCACAAAATGACCATTATCTTCGTTTACAAATGTTCCTGACACACGTGTTCCGGTCGAAAAATAAAATAATATTTAAAGTATTCTATTTTTTGTCCAATAAAAATGCTTCCCTCCTAATTATACTCGCTTCGTTTTTCGAGCCTGTTAAGCCATAAAAAAAAAACGCCATAAAAGGGGTCACACGGAAGTTCAACAGGCAGTTACAGGTGGCCAGGGAACAGACCTATCACGGTCAGGCCGAGCGGTCAGCAGGGGAGCATCAACCACCGTCAACATGTGTGAACTACTATGAGAGATCGACCTAGATCCGAAGCCGGCTTATGAACTATACCACAAGGTAGCTGTCCCAAACCCTCACGTTCCTGTTGAAATAAACCACGTAAATCTATTTCTGCTGTTGTCGTATTTCTTTCTTGCAACCATACGCTTGTCTATAACAGTTTCTAAGTAAAACAGTACAGTACCTGGCTATGAGAGCCATGAAAAGAGATTCCGGTCGAACTTTGCCTTAGAAATTTTAAAATTTTGTGAGGTGGTGCATTATTTCTCATACACAGTAGTGTTCTTATAGCGTACAGAGCTTCAGTTATTACATCTTCCCAATGTCTAATTGGAAGGTTTTGGTTTTTTGAAGTGCTAACTGTGCGGTCTTCCATATTATGCCATTGTATCTATCGCACTCTCCATTCCCTTGAGGATTGTATAGTGTAGTCTGGCAACTCTTTGTACCAATAGGAATCTTCTTAGTTGGTCGGACATAAAAGAGGTCCCACGATCTGTATGAATATATGCTGGCACTCTGAGTATTAAGAACACTGAGCAAAGACAGCATATAACCATTGTTGCACTTACATTTGGACAGAGAAAGGCAAAAGGGAATCATGAGTACTCATCAATGATAGTAGATATTTGTTTTGGAATTTAGATGGAAGAGTGTCCTTAAAGTCCATGCTCAGCTTCTGAAATAACTGTGTAGATTTTACTAGGGTTCCCGGTTCGGGTTTGTAGAACCTTGGTTTTATTCAAGCACATATCTGACAACCATTTGTTGTTTATTTCATGTCCTCAACTAAAAAAAGCAAATTTCGGCTTCGAACTACGCGCATCATTCTCGTGATGCCTGGATGACAGAGATCGTTATGAACTTTTTGTATATCTTTGGTGCTGTTTATTGATCCACATACTCTTGACAGTGCGTCCGCCGTTGCATTTTCCATTCTCGATCGATAGAAAAAGTCAAACGAAAAACGGGAAAGCTCTACCCTCCATCTTACTATCTTCTCATTTTTTTATTTTGCTTGACATATTGGGATTAAACATAAAAGAGACTGACTTTGCGAGTAATTCAAAGCAGTGACCAATTAAGAAATGTCGTCATTTTTTTAGCACCTTGACTATGGCATAAGCCTCCTTTTCGACATCTGATTGTCTGATTTTAACAATGTTCTGGGGAAGAACGCCACAAGGTGCCCGGATTGCCTTAACACGGCAACTATTGCATGGTCGGAAGTGTTGGTCTCTACTTCCAGGGGAATGTTAGGATTCACCAAAGTGATGGCTGAGTTGGTAATAACCCCACCCACAAAAAAAAAGTTTAACGGCAGAAGAAAATAAAGAAAATTTGGTAATTTTCGTAAGTGGGTGCATTTTTTCAGAAAGGAAGGGTATCCACTGAGAATAATAAATGAAGATACCCATAGTTCAGCGCAAGGCGGCTATGGTGTCGGGCATAGGTAGTTTTAGCTGTTCAAGCTCTGGATTCATGATTCCTTTACCCACAATATATATAAGTCTGATGGTTGTCGGCCTATAAGAACTATTGTCATGGTTGTGTAAATGCTACTTGTGTGCTATGTTGAAGAGATTTGTAGACTCGTCCTTTTCTACCTATCACCCCTAGTAACAGAACAGTCTATACCTTACGCCTACGTATGGAAAACTTCGACCAATAAAAAACCGTACTAGGCGAATCAACAAATCTCATTGGTTAACGACACAATAATCTGAAAGTTTCACGTGCAAAACGAAATTGCGCTAAAACTTCTTTGAGCCGATTTTGGACTTTCAAAAGGATATAAAAGAAAACACCGACTGACCAAGAGGGTCAGAGACGAACATCTACAGAGAAATTGCCAACATACTCCACGTCACTCGAAATCACGACTTTACTGCGCAAAAGTACATCAACGCTTACCCACTTGCAATTTAAATTCGACCAACTCTGTGGACATCAAATCGCAAACCTAAAACAACTTTGCTTATCCAAAGTGAACTATACTCACTACATTATTAAGTAAAAATCAACATTCGAACGATTCAGAAATATTACAGTCAAAGGTAGACCACTCTATAAGAACTCATTCCTAAAAACACTTAACATCGACATTTTTAATGTTAATTAACACAACTCCAGAAAGACTGTAACTGAACATACAAATACAAAAAGAGACATACCGAAACCTCAAATATCACACACACTTTGCCATAGTAACATATACCAAAATATCCTGTATATATATTACTTTTAATTGTATATAAATGTTTTGTTAGTTTCTAAATTGAATATGTCTTGTTTTTGATTGTATTTAATATTCGTTTATTTATTTGTTTGTGGATGCAGAAAGTCACGCAACCTACACAAATTCCTTCTGATTCACTCAGTTACAATTAATTAATTCTGCACATCCCCAACAGATTAATGTGGCTGCGTGTTGAAGAGCATTTAACATTTATACATTATTGAATCAAGGAAAAACAATGAGAAAACGGTTTTGTTTCAACAATAAAATATATATTAAAATCAGCAAATACAAAACAATTTTGTAATGTGTGAATATTAAGGAAAAGAAAGTAGTTTCCTTTTATCTGTTAGCTTGAATAAGATAAAATGCAATTAAGAATGTTTCTTGAATAGAATGTTCAAAGTTCTATGTTGAAATAGAATGTTGCATTCAGAAAAACATACAGTTAATTCAGTTGTGTGTTATTTGTATAACAGAGTGTTGGTTTGTAACTTGGCTTGTTCACAGAAAACGGATGGTGAAATGTAATTCAAGTTCTGTGTCTGTGTGTGCGTAGTGAGTAGAATCAATAGTTTGTGTAGATGCGTGTGAGTTGCTGGGTTCTACTGTCTATTTTTGGAACAAAATATTGCTTATATGGAATTAACACATTAATTCCATCTATATTTTACGCGCGCGCGAGTTTTCCTCCCTTCCTTTCACACTCGTGCGTGTGTGCGCGCGGTTTGCACCTCTTCCTTCCTCTCACAGCTAGACGTAGCAGTAATCTGGAGGGGGAACTTCATTAATAGCTCCTACTGATGAAGTCAGCCTAACAGATTTTGTTTTTTTTTCCCGCGCGTTTCTCGGCGTCTCAAACGAACAGCGTTTGCAAGCCAGTTGCTTCCCGATCTTCAACCTGACTAGATGGGCAACTCATTTATTCCGTGCCCTTAACCCGTATGCGGGCCGGAATATCTTATTTCAACAATGTCGACCTCAAACTTGCTACCCGCAGGTCAGACCTTCTCCGTTTTCGACCAGAAGACGTTAGTTTGAGAGACACGACACAGTCGTGAGCAAAACTTCGTATTCAACAAGTGGCCTATTTTTATCCCTCGTCAGTCAAACTTTAAATACAGACAGGGATATCTTATTGACGAACAAACTTGCTACCCGCAGGTCAGACCTTCTCCGTTTTCGACCAGAAGACGTTCGAGACACACGACACAGTCGTGAGCAAAACTTCGTATTCAACAAGTGGCTTATTTTTATCCCTCGTCAGTCAAACTTTAAATACAGACAGGGATATCTTACTGACGAACAGATATTCTTCGTCCCTTCTGGACTCGCCATAATTAACTTCTCATAGACGATGCAACCAACCGCAAATAACTCTTCGTCCTTTTGGCTAGACGTCCACAGCTTTCCGTTAAAATTTTCAACAGTTAATTCAAGACCTGACCGAACTCTGAGACCCTACTTTGTACCTGAACAAAAAAAAAGAAAAAAACACAAAATCACATACACTCTCAACGCCAAAAAAATCCACAGTGAGTACTCCTTTCTATCTATGCGCACCTACACCTCTGTTAACGAGTTCCTTTTTCCAGAACCTTATAAAACTCTTTTTCCCGCCTTGTTCATCTTGCATTTCTATTTAGGCGCGGAACTTTTCCCTGATCTCGTACCACGAGATGATCTACTTGTTTCCATCTAATAAAAATTACACATGTTTTACAAACAGACGTCTTTGTCATTTTATTCCGGCTATCTCTTTGATGTTTATAATTTATGCACTCGTTGAGAGGTGGATTAGTAAGATTGTTTAGTGATAAAAGTCTTACTAATTAACCCATAGCTGGAGGGAGAGGTGGATTCATACCTTTCCCAAGGGTATTTGCAGATAAGTGAATATAAAGAACTCAATGATAATTGGAACTCGGCTCTCCAACTAACAATTCTGAGCTAGTATACATTACACCATTCATATATCCAAGCTTACAGCACCTGGTAGTCCCAAGTGGTCACCTATCTAGTTACTGACAAGGCTTAACATTGCTTAACTTTGGTGATTATATGGGAACCAATGTTTCAATGTGATGTGGCTGTAAGCTCCTCTGCTAAGTGTTAGTGTCATCTGAAAATCATTACACACAAAAATTATATATATGTAATGTATATATGGATACAAATTGCATTTTATATATTTGGATTGAACAAAAGAATGTGAAAGAATTTTATTTACCTTTATTTCATTCAATTTTTTCTATTTCCTTTTATTTAAAATGTACATCAGATACGAAAAGCCTGAAACTGTGTCTATAATTACTGCCACATATTGAGATTTGTTAATAGTTCACTTTCTCAACTGTCTCCTTCTCAATCTGTAAACTGGAGGTAGAGGAATATCTATGTGTAACCTCACAATGTATAGTAATATTAATTACAATTTCTTTATACTGTATTTTCAGATCTCCATCATACATAATTTCAAATAAAGAATAAATGAAACAGTATTTTTGGTACTCATTTATGATGAAGATTTTTTTTCCTATCAAATCATAAACTATCTAAAAATTATTCAAAAATTAAAGAAAATTGTTTTCTTATAGAGAATTTTAATCCAATTATCTAAATAATTCAAAAGTTTTAATTTAAAAGAAAGGCTATGAAGACTGGATATGTTATCAATGCTTTGTTATCATCAATTACAAGTCCTCTGCTGAGCTAGAATTCTTTCCAAATGACAACTGTTGCTATGCTATTATCTGCCTTGTCTTACTAGTAAATCACACTCATTTCTCTATTTTTCTGTCTGGTCTTTTTCTACTGTATTTTATATCCATTGAACACCAATCAAGATTTCTTCAAGCTCCATCTGTTATTCTTCTTACTTTGTGTTCCACCTACTTCCATTTTTGGCATTTAATCACTTCTATATATCTTATATTGGTCTGCTCTCTGATCTATGCTGACTTCTTTGTGTCTCCATATTTTGCATCCATACATCATATCTGGCATTATGCATGTATTAGTGTTGATAAAATTAGATGTGAGGCTATAACTTATTATAAGTGCTATTCAACTTTATAGTGAAAATTTAACACATTTCCACCAGGGGAGACAACTTTCATCTTCAGTCATCACATGTACAAATTAAAAACAAACCAGAAAGACATTTTGTTCTTATTTACAGGTGCACATGTCTGCTATCATCAAACAGATATTTTCATAATTTTGGATTTATTTTCTTAGGAAAGATAGAAGAATGTTTTCTCATTGCCTTCTCCATAGTTTTGAATTTAGAAGTAGTCTTTCTCCTAGATTGACTGTCTACCTTGCTATTTAACTCACAATTAGAAATGGGAAGAAGTGTTTGATTCATGCCTTTTCCAAATGCATTAGTGTGAATTCAACACAACAACTAGGCCAGAATTTGAACTCACCAAGTCCATTTTCTGAATTGATAACTATTACACTGCACACTCATCTATAGTCTTAGATATAAAATTTTAAAACAGAAACATTCCATGTACATAAGTATATAAACTTTAACATAAAAATGATTTTTCCAAAGCAAAGGACAATGTGAAAGGAAAGCAATTAGAGTGAAGCAAGAGTGATAAAAATTTTGATTATAATTTTCTTATTCTTCACTTATTGAGAGTCCACTGTGATACAATGGACACCCACATAGAAGGGGAAGAAGTGGTTTTATCTCAATCTCAAGTGTTCCTGTTTGATAGACTAGCGGATGGTTTCTTTTGAACTTCAGTCTTCTAAGTGACATCCACTTTAACTAAAAGGGAATGGGATGTAAAGGTATGGATGTGGGATTTTAAAGATCAAGTGGCAACAAAACTGGAATTTGGCATTATCCAGGTGTTGGTCTATATTAGCAGGCATGCTTAGGATCAGGAGGACTTCTAGTCTGCTCTTCGTGGGAAATGGACGTGTCCGTGTTGCATTTCTGAAGTCTCCATTTCATATTGCCATCCAATATGAAACAACCCTAAAAGATAGTAGATTCCCAACAACACGCACACCACAAAATAGCTAATAGGAAAAGAAACATCATATGGTTCAACTCACTGTACAACAAAAAAGTAAAAACAAATGTAGGAAAACATTCATTAAGCTCATACACAATCATCCCCCCCCCATCAAGCACTCTTTACAAGATATTCAACAAAAACACAGTAAAAGTCAGCTACAATTGCACTGAGAACATGACAGAAATAATAATAATAAAAAAAAACACAGCAGGAAAACAACCGACAAACCACCCACACAAATCAAACCCACAGATAACTCCAGAACAAAGAATGAATGTCCCTTAAACAGCAATTGCTTACAGAACAATGTAATGTAGCAAACCACTGTAAAATCAGCAGTAACAAAGAAAAAATATACATAGAAGTAACTGAAGGACCCTGGCAACAAAGAAACTACACACACAAAACATTTTTTACAAAATATTAAGTATGTGAACAGCACAATGCTTTCTAAACATATATGGAACATTAAAAGCAAAAACCAAATCATAGCAAAAATATCATGGAAAATAAGAAAACATCATCAGCCTACAACAATAAATTGCAAAACTGTAAACTGTCTGGCAGGGAGAATAGCTATAATTACCTTCCCAGACCAACACAAACTACTAAATAAACAATGAGAACTCATTTCAAAATGCAAACGTGAAAACAATTTTTTACTATATTGCTTAAAAATAAAAAAGAATAAACAAAACTAGATAAATTAAAAAAATAAAATAATACGGTAAATACTAGATAAATTAACAAATCATGAATGCACACAAGTAAATGTAATAATAACAACCAAAAATAAGATAATCAATAATAAATATAAAAAGTTAAGAAACAACACTATAAAAAGCCATAAAACTGTATCTGGATCAACAATCATTTCCACCCAATAGCCTAATTTGAAACATAACCGTTAACTCACACCAAAATAACTATTAGAACAAAGACTACCCACAATGCATCAGTGACCTGTATAAATAAATAGTCAAGCTAAAACACAATGCATATAGCCTGACAATTGTATATAAGCATGAAAGAAATTGTTGCCACTGGGTGTTGACCACCACTTTTATATTTACATACTCTAACCCTGATATTGAGCACTTTAATCCATAAACATACCTTAAAAATATATTTTATCATATTATATATACGTTCCCATATGATCACCAAAGTTAAGCAACATTGAGCCTATTCAGTACCTAGATGGTGACCACTTGTGAATACCAGGTGTGGTAAGTGTGGATGTGCAGGTAGAGTAATAGATAATGGCTCGGAATTGTTAATTGGAGAGCTAAATTTCAATTCCTGTTGGGTTTGTTAATATTCCCTTATGGGAAAATACCTTTAGGAAAGGTACACCTCTCCAACCCTCAGCTATGGGTTAAATAATTACACTTAAAAATATTTATATATATATATATATATTCTAAAAATATTTTCTGGCTTTAAATAACCTGCAAAGGGTTGATAAGCCATAGAAAATGAATCAATCAAATTAAATGTTACTTTCTTTGGTATTCTCCTTTCTTTTATTTTTTCCCTTATATGTTTTTTACTTTGTGTATATTTTAATCAATGTGCCCAACTCTTTTATTCCTTGCTTACAGCTCTGAAAACCATCAGTTAGCTTTTTTAATTCCCATTTCCTGTTTTATGGAAACTATTGTTTATTTTTCTTCCCCTTTTTCCTTGCTTTTTGTTCCCGTTATATTGATTTTGTTGTCTGCTTTTAAAGCTATACAGGTGATTTCATTATTTTTTAAAAAATTCTCCTTTCTTTATACTAGTTTAATATAATACAGCCATAAGCATGAATTGTTAAAAGACTATCAAAGCTTTCTATATCTTTAATATATCTATCCTGTTCACAGATTCAATAAATTATTTTTATAAGCTATTAATATTGGTATTTAATAGAGGAAGTTAATTGTAGTTTTTGCAGTATGTTAATATTTTTTGTTCTTTTTTATTTTTCAAAAAGGCTAAACAAAGATGAATTAGATTAATAAAAAGAAAAAAAAACAACTAAAAGGTTTCAATATATTGCACTGCAGTTTAACATTATTATTTACAGTAGTCAATGAGTGCTACTAGAGTATGATATCTAGCATCCATTTTCTCTACTATTCATTTTTTACTATGGTATATTTTACCAACTGTTGGAAGTATGAAATATAATAGGGTTAAAGGTAGTGAACTGGCTATGTATTAAAAATCATGAACAATTTTTTATACAAAAAAATTAAAAAAATTATCAGTGATTTTCATGTTTGCAAACTGATTTGATGTCATTTAAAAAACAAAAAACAGGTCATTGTTTTTCCTAACCATTTTCCAGCAATAATGAGTGCATCAGCATTTACAGTAGCTCGCAAATACCTCGGTAGATATCATACTATTGTAGCACCAGTCAATGTATGAATTAATATGTACTTTTAATTAATTCATATAACTGTAAGGTTTATGTTAGCTGGTTTTTATTAGTAAAGATTTCACTAATTCCATTTTAAAGAATAAACTTAGAATCTAAGGCATCTTTTTCAAATTAACTTTAACTAACAGATTCAATTAACTGTGAACATCAAATTTTGCTTGCTTTATCTGCTATTTGATTGAAGTTGCTCTTCACTCAGATAAAGAAAAATGCAAATCAGGACAGAGTAAATGCCTATAATTTGCAAACAACCACTTATATTTAATTTTAATACAAAGAAAGATTTTGCCAAGACATTGCTTGATGAATAAAATAAAAATGTGAAAAACTGCTCCTATTTCAGCAACATGAAAAGGATATTTTTTTTAATTCCTTGCTTTACATAAAAAATTATGTATAACAGGTGTAAAACAAAATATATCTGTTGAAAATAATATAAATTTATGTATAGAAAAATAAATGTTTCCTTCACTGTAGAAGAAATATTGTATGGATAACAAAAAAAAAAACGTAAAAAAACAAAAAAAAAAAACAAAACAAAAAACAATTATCAGTAAACCTTATTCCAGTGGTTACTGTTAACAGCAAGTCATCAAAATGTGCGGAAATCAGGCAACTTACTAAAATACTTCATTTGATTTTATTTACTTGTTCTTATAGAAATGTGATTTTTTTTTATTTGAGTGAAAAAAAAAAAAAAGGACTGAATTTTCTTTCCTATTTCAGAAAAGCTAGAAATAAAGTTTTAAATTTAATAGTATATTGACAAATAATAATTGTAAGTTAGAATTTGCTTTAAATTACCGTACTTGATCTGAATAAAAATAAAATTAATTTCAGTAAAACTTTTTACTGTGTAGCATTAAAGAAATAAAAAATGTTATAATTTTCTTTTCTCCCGTAGGTTGAAATTAATGTTGCCATTAAAATAAAAATATAACCAAATTAAATACATTGTTACCAGATTTTTTTTAATGAAACCCTGAGTCCAAAGAAATGAGAATCAAAGTCCGTAATATAAAATATTGTTTTATAAAAATATGAAATATCCGAGAAGGGCCTATCAAAGTTTATTCGTCCATAAGCCTTTTTTTTTTTTTTTTTTTTTTTTGCTTTTTCTTCCATCTATCACGTTGTAATGTTCAACTTTAAATATAACTTTGGTAAAGAAATGAAAATAAAGTCAAAAACATAAGTTAAAAATAAAATATATATTTAAAAAAATAATAATAATTTTAAAAATTTAAACAAATATACAGTCATATAAAAAAAAGAAAAGAAATAAAAATAGCCCTTAAATTTATTTTTCACTAAAATGTTATATTGTGAGCAATATCGCGAAGATAGGCAATTGGTGAAGAACTATCGTAACTGCTTACAATCTTCATTAATTTCGTTGTGCTATCAAATTTTGACTTGTGACGTGTAATTTCATTTCCTGCAGATATTTGTTGAATTTTTGCATGATTATTATCTTCTTCTTTTTGTAGGACAACGAGGAATTTCCGAATATCGCATGTGCTGATTTTTACTTGAAAACCCCGGTGCCATTCTTCTATAAAATTGTTCAAAGGCAAATCTGCATCTACACGGTTGTATACATTCCATAAGCTAACGGGGAACTGAGGAGTTTGTCGGTATTGGGTACCTATTCTACCACGAAGTGTACCAATGTAATTATCCTCGAAGTAATTACATATAGGCTCAGCAACAGGAGGTAAAATTTCTTGTAGATCTTCAAATGCACTCACAGCATTTGCAGGTGGAATAAAGGCAAGGGCAGCAATCATCTTGATGTAGACTGGAAAATCACCGTCACTGGCATAAAGTCCCGCTAATCCTTCGCTTTGAACTTTCCGGTATATTGCTTGTGATAAATGATAAAAACAACCTTCAATCGTAACGTTCGGCCACGTGGAATGGAGAGCATTTATAGTAGGTAATTCATAACCAGTTAATATTATTTGGGGATTGAGATTTGCGTTCAAACTCAGGAGTCCTGTGAAAAAGTTGTTGTAAGTATTTTCGTCTTGGTTTGAAAGAAGTCCATACAAGCAGGGATTTACAATATCGGAACCAATCAACGTATGCACTGTAAATAAATAACATGACAATTCGGGCACAACTTTAAATGAACCATCACAAAACCAACGATCTGATTGCTCAAGTTGATTTAAGGATTCTAAAGTGCCAAATATTACAATTCGAGAATTTGCGTGGTTATAATCGTATAATAAAAAAATATCTCCACGTAAAGTTTCTTGAAATTCCTTTGGAATTATCAAGTTTGAAAGACAATCGGCAAAAATCTTGGGTCCAATACTCCGAGAAGGGATCCCAAAAGCTTCTTGCCGCTGTCTTCGAATTGTTCTTGATATCGTTGATAACTTTGGGAGTTTTGAAGCTGTTGCTTCGCTAATGCTCGAAATGTTTTCAGCGATAATTTGAGCAGCAGGTTGTTGCGTTTCCAAGGCACTCCGTTTCAACGCATTCCGCACTTTTAATGCTTCCACGCGTGCATGATCGCCAGCGTGTGTGTGTTCATTTTGCTGTTCGACTATAGCACTGTTTTTGACTTTGACTCTAGCTTTACACAGTCCTTTTCGTCGCTGTTCGCATTCATAAACGGTAGTTTCACCGTCGACAAGCGTTTGAAGCTTTACATAAATAAAGCCATCAAGAACAATTTTTGTCTGACCTCGAACCGTCTGGAGTATTTCCATATTGCTTCAGAGGTGTTCACTTTTTTTGGCACAATACTGTGCGTTTAATTTTCCCAGTTTAACGGCACTAAATATCCAGATGCACACGAAGATAACTGAACAAATTCCTTTGTAAGAAATTAAACGCTTATATATACATATATTTATAATTATTCCAATAAATGTTTTAAGAGGTAGATAACTGAGTAGTTTGAGGTTGGGTGGCAAGTAACGAGGGAAAATGTCCGAAGGGAATTCACCGGTGGAAATTCACCGATAGAAAAATGACTGTATGGGAGATAACTCCCAACCACAATCTTTTAGTTGTCATACTTAGCGATTAGATTTATTTAGGGAGCTGCATCGCGACTGAGATATTGGAGATTTCATCTGGGCTGCGGAGTCTCGTTAATGTAGAAAATGTAAGATTTTAATTTTACATTGATGCACAAAGCATTTTTTCATGCGAATTAGTAATGTACGATGTAAATATAAACAAGGAACCACAATTGGCGCATCACCGATTATTTTACTGTAGTTTGGAACTGGGAGGCCCTGTCTCGCTTGGTTCGTACCTTTAAAAAGGCAGTTAAACACACTTTGTTGTATTTTGATACTGTTTTCCTTTATTTTAATGTTTATGATATGTATGAACGGATGCTGAAAAGTTTTCAACCTGATCTACTTCACCAAAAAAAATCTAACAAAATGACCAAACAAAAATTTCTTTTTAAATCCCTTCTTGGTCGTCAAGCCGAAACCTTTCAGCACACATTCATACGCATCAAAAACTACGTATGATTTCATCAACATTACTACTACTACTACCATCACATCATAACAACAAAAGCTACTACTAATATTCGTTTTTTCCTCGCCAGCAACACAAGTGTGATATTACATTATATATATATATATATATAGACTCTGACAAAAGAGTAAATATATATGTTGGTTACACGATGACAACATTATCAAGAAGGCTTACATTACACGTCAGATTGAAGTTCTATTGCACAACATTTAAAAGAACACATTCCTGTCCACATTTACGTTTTAGAGAAATATTAATTGACAATACAAGTATACTTCACCATGA